TGGCGCCGGGGGCGGGACCGGCCGGGCCGTCACTCACGGGTTAGAGTGAGCCCGGTTGCCGCCGGCCCTCCCCCACCCCGTCTGGGTTGTCCCTGCCGCTCGCCTGATTTCCCTGCAGCGGACGCGCTCCAGAAGGGTCTCCGAGAGCGCGGGCGGGGCCGCCGAGCGCCGCGAGGACCCCGGAGCGGCTGGGGGCGGGCTGGGGACCTGGAGGGGTGGACCCCAAGGGGGACAGGGGGAACAGGTGGCTCAGGAGCAAAGACTGGCAGGTGTGCTGGGAGGGGTAGGGGCAGAGGGCAGGAGGCGGTGGGGGGGAGAATGAGTTCTTGGCCCGATGAACACCAGTGCGAACGGAGGGAGGTCGCAAGAAGGAGGAAGACGGCGGACCGTGATTTGGGTGGTGCAACGACGCCCAGGCGGGGGCGGGGGCGGGGACACCTGGGAACAAAGGTGAAAGGGAGGTTCCGCAGGTGAGGCGGAAGGAGCTCTAGGCGCGCGTGGACGCAGTCTAGAAAGATCCTAGAAAAGGAAGGATGGGGGAACCTCAGTTTTCTTGGAAACTCTCACCGATCCCCTAAGATATAAGGAGCAAACGCGTGTCCCAACTGGGGCGCTGCGCAAAACCGCCAGGCCCTCGACGAGGAGATTGTCTGAAACCATTGCATTTGGTTGGAAAATGCGTCTTCGCACATTAATCCATACCCCCCGCCCACCCACTTTCTGAAAAAAGTGTCTTGCGGACCCCAATGTCCGCTGAGTGCGGCTAGAGTCCCACAAAAAGCCACCTGAGGGTTGAGGAGGCGGGGAGTTCCAGCAAGGGGAACCAGACTGCCGCCCCCCTCACCCCCCACCAAGGGTTTAGCAGCAAGAAGTAACGAGGCCTAAAAAGAAAGGTAATCAATCACCTTTCTTAGGGGGCGGCAAGTAAGGCCTCGCCCGCTGTGCCCTCACCTGGGACTAGGCGGTGCCTGGGGCGGGGGGCCGGACACAGGGCAGTCTCGGCGCAGGGCAAGGCCATTGCGGGACCCCACCTCTCCCCGCCCCTCCCGTTCTGCGGGCGCGCCAGGTGAAGGGGGCGGGGCTCGCGCCACCGCCCCTCGCGCGCCGGGGCGTGGCCAGTGGGCGGAGCGTCCAGGCCCCGCCCAGCGGCCGGGCCGTGCCGCGCCGAAGCGGCTCCTCCTCCCTCCTTCCGCCGGCGCTCCTTGCGTCTCTCCTTGCTCCTTCCTGCTGCGCCCGCACGTTCCGCGAGATGCGCGCCGCCGGCCCTTTCTGAGGATCCCGGAGCCCACCGCCGCGATGGAAGAGGACCAGGAGCTGGAGAGGTAACGGCCGCACGGGCGGGCGGGCGGGCGGGGGACCGGGGGGGCCGGTGGCCGGCAGGAAGCGCGCGGCCGGCCTGGGCCGAGGCCTCGGCGCCGGGCCTAGAGGGTGGGCCTGGGCTCGAGGGAGGCAGACCCGGGGGTGGAGGTGGGCGCCTGGCGGATGGGGGTGGGCGAGACGGCCATGGATGGCTTGATTTGACCCCTACGTAGACTCACAGGTAGATCGAAGGAGGGGAGTCCCAGAGCTGCTCACCTGCCCACGAGCAAACGGCACCAGCGGGGACACATCCGCACCCTCCCGCTGACCCCCGGAGTGGGTGGCAACCGGTGTTCAGACCGATCCAGTCCGGCGTTTTGAAGGCCGCCCAAAGCGCTGACCTCCCTCTTTCTTCTACGCTCGCCCTAATACCTTCTAGTCGCCTGGTTTCCGGGCGTTTTGCAAATGGAAGCCGCACCTGAGCCCTCGCCTCCATCCTCCGTAGCCTCAAACCTGCCGTTTACAGTCCACACCCCACCCCCATTTAACCCTTTCAACTCCTGCTTCATCCTCCGAGCAGGGCCCTCTCCCTATTCTAATCCTGCCTCTTTCTCGTGTCACACGTAACCCAAACAATCTTGGAGAAACGTTTAGCGCTGTGCGGGAGACTCGCCTCGGGGCGTGTGGATGATCTGGGGAATTTGGGAGAAACAGGGCAGGGTGCTTAGATAAATATTAGATGATGGTGGAGGTAGAATGCTATGGGAGGGATTGGTTCGATTCAAGAAGAAAAGATTTGAGGAATGATGTGTTGGAATGGGGATATCTAGTCCGTGAAAGGGGGGGGGAGCTAATTATGAAACTATTCCACATGATCTCATGTTTATAAAAATGTGTGTGTAGAAAAATGCATGGATTGAAGACCTCCATGGCGGAAGGTGAGCGGAAGACTGCCCTGGAAATGGTCCAGGCAGCGGGATCAGATAGGCATTGTGTGACCTTTGTATTGCACGAAGAGGACCATACCCTGGGGAACTCTCTCCGGTACATGATCATGAAGAACCCCGAAGTGGACTTTTGTGGCTACACGACGACCCACCCTTCCGAGAGCAAGATCAACCTGCGCATCCAAACTCGAGGGGGTCTTCCAGCCGTGGAGCCCTTCCAGAGAGGCCTCAGCGAGCTCATGAGTGTGTGCCAGCACGTGCTGGACAAGTTCGAGGCCAGCATAAAGGACTATAAGGAACAGAGAGCGAGCCAAAGTGAATCGGCATTCTAGCGTCCCACCCCCCTTTTCAAGGTGTGTGGAGGCTGTTCTAGAACATTCCGTGAGGTAGGACTGTTGGAGGGGCACATGCTATAGTCTTAAGAAAGCGTGCTTCTAGCTGCTGACCCATGGCGGCCGCAGGGTTCCCTGCACACATCCTTGTCACATTCTGCCAATAAATGCCCTCCTTTATTGAAGCCGGTTTGAGTGGTTTCTTGTTCTTTGCAACCAAAGGCTACGCAAGGATGGCTGTGGGTGATTTTTTCCCCCCTTATAATTGAAGCGGGCTTGAATGTGAGGAAACTGGAAGGACAGCAGGCCTTGGACAACAAACCAAACTCATGGCTATCGAGTGAATTTTGACTCGTAGCAACCATACCGGGCAGGGTGGAACTTGCCCTTTGGGTTTCGGAAACTTTTGACTTGTACGAAATGGATAGCCTCATCTTTCTCCCAAGGAGCAGGTGGTGAGCTTGAACCTGTGGATAGTAGCCCAGTGCATAGCTCACTACACCACCAGGGCCCCTTAAGGCCTTGAATGATAGTACATAAAGGGTTAGATGTCCATGGCTATGATATAGGGGAGGAAGGAGATCCAATAGAACATAGCCCCAGACTAACATTGATTAGAAATTTTAAAAAGTTAAAGGGCACAAAGGGGAAGGCAGAAGTCCTTGCCTGGTGTTTCTTTTAAAAATCTCCATAAGGGGTTGATGAGATGGTTGCATCATTGGCGGCTGCTCTGCGCATAGCGGGAGAGCCCTTTGGAAGAATGTATTGGTTCCACTTTCCCAGAAGAGTTTGGGGTGATGTCAGGCTCCATCTCTGTGGTGGCGGCCCTGGTAGGATAGACAGCATTTTGCTGCTTGAATTTCAGCATGCTAATGAAATATTTACTTTGGAGTGCCCCATGTATGAGTGATGGGGGGAATTTGGAAATGGATCATGGAGGTATCAAACAGCCTGGTTAGCATGCCAAATGTCCCTGAGTTGCGCACTGAAGGGCATTAAAATGTCACCTGTGTATTTACCACAATTGAAAAATAACCTAATTAAGCCAAACGGTTTGGATTATATGAGACGCCAACTGAGCTGGCCGAATAATTTGGGTTCTTGGGTCTCCCAGTAGTTTATGTTTACATGCCTAACGCGCCATTCAAGAGAGAGAAAAGGGAAGAAAAAATTCCTTGTGGGAGACTTTTTCAGGAAACTTGAACTATTAAAGCATTTTGCCCCAAATGTGCCCTGTCTACCTCTTCGACTTGTCTATCCCACCAGCCCCATCCAACCTGACTTTTCATTTATCCCAAGCGCACCCCAGCCCTGGGTCACATACACCCAGGATTTGGTGCTGTGATGCCTCTGTGTTCATTCTCCCTTCCTGGAACATTGCTTCCCCTCCGTATTCTAGTTCAAACTTGGTACCATGGACTCTTCCTGTCCGTCCCCCCCGCCCCCCCCCAATCTTGTTTGGGGGTACTTTCGTTACACCGTGCTTTCTCTTCATATCTGCAAGGCTACCGCTGGGGCTTGGCTTGTCTGTCTTTTCGTTCTACTACCTTGCGATCCCACTGGGCATGATGACCGGAACCAAAAACACCAGACTCTGCCATTGAGTTGATGCTGACTCATAGCAAACCTACAGGATGGGGTAAAACTGCCCCTGTGGGCCTCCGAGACTAACTGTAAAGGAGGAGAAAGCCCCATCTTTCTGCCACAGAATGGCTGGTGGTTTTGAACAACTGACCTTGTAGTTAGCAACCCAAGATGTAACGACTACACCTCCAGGCCTCATAATGAGTGGGCCTTTAATAAATACTACATGGATCCACGTATGTGAGGGTGGCATGGAGCCTTGCATGCATGCCAGTCAGGTACCTACTAGCTCGCCCTAGAGATGCATTCCCAGAATCCTCACAGGGGTTCAATCAGCACTTTCAGTAAAGAGATTTTTAGGACTTCTTGGTGGTTACTGGTAAACTGGTATTGCCTGGATCTTGGTGAGAGCTGAGAAGACAGACACGCGTCTTACGCAATGGAGCAAGCGTACAATTGGATTGACTAATTTTTAAGGAAATCAGGCAAACGGGGACTGCGTTGGGTGGCAACCAGGGAAACCCTGAGGCGAGGTGACTTAAAAACATGCTACAGGGAGAAGTGACCAGCTGTTGCAGGAGGGAGGGGAGGAAAGGCGTCCTGGAAGAACAGCATGGTGCGAGGTACCTAGCAGGAAATGGGTGAGCTGGCGAGTGAGAGGTGTTGAGCAAGCTGGGTGCCTGTGGCACCGCGGGCAAGGTGAAGGACCTGTGCTGTGGATTCCATGGGAGGAGGCCTGGCATGGTCAAATTTGGATTTTAAGTTCAGGAAGATCAGTAGCTGATTGATTACATTGGTTGTAGGAGTGGATTGTAAAGGTGCCCGGGGTCGAAGCGAGAGACTCACCAGAACTGATGAGAGTTATGATTCCGTTAACAGTAGGCTCGTGAGGGAGAGCAGTGGGTGGGAGTGAGGTATCTGACCGAGCCGATTGGTTGCCTTCGGGCATAGGAGCTGGAAGGTGAGGAAGCAGAAAGATTATCCCTGCCTTGGTCTGAGGCCCGATTACGGACACAGGGAAACTTCAAGGGAGAAAACCAGGTTGAAGGTGAAGACAATGACGAATCCAGAGTTCATTTTGAACACGAACTGCTTCAGGTAACTAATTAGAAAGTATCATGATTAGAAAGGGGTTCCCAAAAGTTCATGGGAAAGTTCCATCATTTTTTTAATTCAGTCTTTTCCCAGAACTTTTTCAAGTCACCTCAGATGTGAGTTCATGACCATAGGACAGATCGATCGGGTCTGTGAAGCCTGACTGATGGCCACCAAGAGAGTTGAAATCCACGTGAGCTGGCAGCACAAAGAGAAGTGGGCCCACAACCAAGCCCAGGACAACCTCAGAACTTGTAGGCATGGGTGAAGCGGAGCGACCAGTGAGGCAGCAGAAGAGAGTAGACTTGCAGAAGCTGAGGCTTTCGAAGCAGGGATGGCTTTCATGAGATCGGTCAAGACAGAAAAACGTCAGTTGCCATGAATAGTTCTTGGGCAATGGGCAGCCAGTAGTGCCTACGAAAGAAAAGCCAACATCGACGTGTGTTGAGCAGAAGCATGGTTAAGCTTGGGTTTCCCGTACTAGGGACACTGCCGAGGTAAGTTCAGGTGGAGCAGGAGTGAGCGAGGAGTAAAGACGGGGTGAGGGTTCTGGCTGAGCGTAATCTGGGTGGCAGTCAGGCAGTCTGGAAAAGTGGTGTCAGCTGAAGGGAATTAGCACCCGAAGACCTATGGGTGCTCGAGAGGGGTAAGTGGAAGAGAGTCAGACCTCTGTGTCGTCCCAACTTTTTCCTATGGGTAGTTCTTTGGGAATGCTGTTCGGTCCCTCTGAGTAGGTTCTGACTCACAATACAGCAGAATGGAGGAGGAGAGTCAACAGGGTTATCTGCATGGAGTTTAGGCCTATTTCGGTTATTACATGTAGACCAAACCCATTGCCATCAAGCAGTTGAAGCTCAGCAACCCTATAAAAAAGCCAGAAACCAAACTCAATGCCATGGAGTCGATGTAGAATCCCAGCACTCCTCTAGGACAGGGCAGAACTGCCTCTATGTGTTTCCCAGACGGGCTCTCTTGGAGTGGAGCTGCTGGTGGTTTCAAACTCATAGCCAATGTGTATCCACCAGGCCACCAGGACTCCTAGCAACCCTATAAGGTGGTAGAATTGCCCCATAGGGTTTCTGAGCTGATAAATCTTCTGCCTCCTGTTCTGAGAAGCAACCGGTGGACTGGAACTGCTGACCTTTGGGTGAGCAGCCTGACATGTAGCCCCCTGTGCTACGAGCCCTAGAAATGTAGTCCTTCATCATGGTGCTCGTGGGACAGAACCCTCGGCATCCGTCGGGCATCATGTGACTTCAGTGCTCCTGAGGGACACTGGCAATGTGGAGTGCTCAGGTGGCCTAGGAAAGCAAATGACCACCTTCCTTAGGCTCCACAACCTTCGTGACCAGCAAGGTGGGGCAGGCAGGATAACCAAGGAGACGATCTAGAAGGAAGAAGGAATTTTAACTTCTGGAGGGAGAGAGCTGATCGTGTGTGTGATCACAGAGAGCAAGTGTGTGTTATGTGTGTAGTGTGCGAGTATCAACTCTGTGTGTGCACACAGTAGAACTCTTCCAGAGGGAAGCAGGTCATCCGATGCCTCTCCAAAAAACCACCAGATTCCGCCATTAAGTGGATGCCAATTCATAACGACCCTCTAGGACAGGGTAGAACTGCCCTGCAGGTTTCTGAGACTAAATCTTTACCGGAGTAGAAAGCCTCATCTTTCCCCTGTGAATCCAGTGGTGGTTTCGAGTCACTGACCTGCAGTTAGCAGCCTAGTGTGCAATCCACTGTGTCACCAGGTGCCTCTGGGTGGGTTCAAACAGCCAACCTTCCAGCTAGTAGTTGAGGCAGGTGTGCGTCTCTGTATGTGTGCACTCACGTGTTTGGATAGATACAAAATAACTTGATGCATTTCTCTGATTTGCTCTCTAATGAGTTTTCACTGTAAGTGAACTATTAATGACTCAAGATCAAAAATAATCTTTGGCTTTGAAATATGCCGTCTGTTAAAAAGCCAACTATTAGATGTGATGATATACCAAAGGCTCTTAGTAAATAGAACTTGCCCGTCCACTGCCCTTGAGTCCTAGTGACCGTCATTTTCCTCCCAAGGAGCGGCGGGTGGGTTTGAGTCACCAACCTCGCAGCAGCTGAACACTGACCACTGCCGCACCAGGGCTCTGGTCCTCGCCCGGCACGTCCCACTGTCACAGCACTGCATATCCCTTCTTTATGGATTGCGAAGAATAGTCGTACCGTCTGAGTGCCCCAAGAGTTGGCATCCCTCACGGTTTCATGCCAAGTCCAGTCGCTGTAGAGAAGAATCCGTCCACATCAGCAGTTCTCAACTTTCACAGGGGTCACCCGATTCATCACAAGAGCAAAGTGACAGGAAGTAGCAGCGGAAACAGTTTTATGGTTGGGGGGCGTCACCACCACGTGAGGAACTGTATGAAAGGGTCGCGGCATGAGGAAGGTTGAGAGCCGCTGCTCGACATAGTGGTTCGCTTAGTACCTTTCTGCCTTAAAAGGCCGTTTCCTATTAAGAACTAGGAAG